TAACATAAGCAATTCATTTTAACATTTACAGTCTAACATTGATAATACTGAATCAACTGTTTATAATTACCATATAATAGTATAATGCCGTTGTTATCACTCACATTTGTTCAGATTTAGATGACACATGTAGATTTTATTTATTTTTATTTTATTTATTAAATTTATATGCTGCCCATCTCCCCCAGAGGAAGTCCAATGAAATGAAATGACTGGCAACATCTTACAAAGTCATACTTTTGAGCTTGTGGGCTCTTAATGGAATGGACATGAAAGACACCCTACAGTATGAGTTCAGCCACTTGTAGACTAGCTCCTGCCCTTCCTAGCTCATTTGAGCAGCCAAGGAAAGGGCACATGGCTGGATTTGGATAGAATACAACCCTTCTGGTTTTGCTAGATCTCAGCATAATTTGATACTATTGAACATCTTATTGGACCACTTGCAAGGGTTGGTGATTGATAGCACTGGGTTACAATGATTCTGTCCTTCCTGTGTGGGCCGTTCCAGTCCACATTGGTGGGAAATGAAAAGTTGAGTTCCTGGTCATTCCTGGGTGGAGTACCTCAGGGATTGGCTTAGTTTGGATGGATATTATCAGTATGCAGATGACGCCAGTCTAAGGAGTGGAGGTCCTAACCCACTCTCTGAAGACTGTGAGGGACTGGATGAGGTAGAACAGACATAGGATGAATCCTAACAAGAGATAGTTAATGCTGCCCAGAAACTATTTGGCTCCATGTTAGCTCTGAATTGCTCTGGGTGAGATCCCCCAATAGAGCAGATTCATGATTTGGGGATCTCTTGGACTCCTAGCTCCTGCTTGATCAGCCAGTTGATGCTGTGACCAAGAGAGCTTTAATTGGTGTAGCAGTGGCAACCTTTTTGGAGCAGGATGCCTTGCCCCTTATCACACCTTTGGATTGCTGTAATGTGCTTTAATTGGAGCTACCTTTGAAGACTACTCAGAAGCAATGGTTGGTACAGAATGTAGCAGCCCATTTGGTGGTGGGTAAGAGCCACATAGCAGAGTACCACCAATATTGGTTGTCGGTAGATTTTCAAAATCAATTCCAAGTTATGGTCATAACCTATTAAGCCCTCTATAGTTCAAGTAATTGCTTTCTGCAGGACCATCTTCTCCAAATGGAGTATATCCATCCTCTCCATAGGAACCAAGAAGGTAAGTTGCAAATAACTTACTCCTTGCCCAAGAAGTTGTGGAATGGGGGTTCAAAATCTGACATAATCAGTGGCTGCCTCAGTGAGGCAGATGAGGTTGGTCCCTTCACTGTCCATATTTCAGAAAGAGGTCAGGAAAATCCTCTTCTACCAAGCTTATGTGGATTGTTAGATTGTAGGTTGCTGTTAATTTTTATATTCAGTCTGAAGTTTATGACATAGGAGGCTTTTTATTTTTTTAATGGATTTCTGTTTTTGATGTTTGAATAATTATGTTCATTTTTATAAGCTTTGGGAATTACTGGTCTTTTATTTGTGAGCCACCCAGAGTCTCTGATTGGGGAGGCATATAAACATGTTAAATAAGTAAATAAATGCACCAGGCAAATCCTAAAAAGATAGGTATCAGTAAATCATACAGTCAGCAGTTAGATCTTCAGGACTGCCAAGTTTAAGAAGTAACAACCATATGTTGAAATCCAGTGTTATATGTTGTGGGACTGATTCTCTTCTTATCCCTTCTCCCACTTCTAAATTTGCACCAGAATGGGGATTCAGTGGCAAGGAAAATTCCCTCCTTCCTCTTCTCTTGACAGAAACCATTATGCTAGCAAACAAGTTAATTCAATACCACCCAGATTTCTTTTACAGTTTGCAGTAGACTTCTCATATGCTTTCCTCTGTTGGTAAGTAATGTGGTGCCTGTGGGCATCAATGTACCTTCAGTCTCCTTCCTTGCACTTGGCAAGCTCTCTGATTTTATTGTATTCTATTTTATTTTAAGATTGTTTGAAATTGAATGAAAAATGGGGAAGCTGATATAGTGCAAAACACCAACTTTATCTAGCATCTTCATTTATAAGAAGGCTTCTGTGTCCTACATAGATTTGATCCTACATTCTTAGAAAATAAAAATGGTGAGTTAATGCAGTTCAGTACTTCATTTGGCAGGATGCTCACCTGCTCAGAAAGAAAAGACAAATGGGTAATAGAGAGTATTTGGGAGATGGGTGCTAGAGAGGATTAAATTAATCATTTTGCTTCAGATAAATCAGGAGGGAGAACTCATAGTTCTCTAGACCCCACTTCCCAAGACATGATCAATCTTTGGTGACTTTTTTTTCTCTAAAACACATATTTAAGCCCCAAAGTAACTGTTTAAGCTATACATATTTTGAGCAAACCATCCATCTCAGCAACAAGAGGCTGAACATCTGAGTCCTCCCTCCATACCTCTTGCAACATTCAGAGGCCAAAAAATAAAAATAAGGTGCAATTTCCAACTAGAGATAAGATGCCTACCCTTGCAATAAATGAATGTTTTGTGATTAGCTGTGCCCACCATGAGTAATTTCTGCTAAACAGCTGAAACCAAGACTGGCTGATCTTTAGAAATTCCAGCATAATTGTAGTTAAGAGCTTAGTAAAAATACAACAGAATAGCAAGATTGTATTAGTCTTTTTCTCTCTGGCTATTTTGGTTAACTAGATTGGCTAGCCTTCCAATGATGCAAAGAAGATGAAACTTGATTTATTTTAAAGAATCCAGTCTGCTGTGTCTAAAACGTCTACACCCACATATAACACTGACAGTTATGTCACAGTTCCTCTGTTTTATGCATGTGTGTGGGTTGCTGGTACGTCATGTGAAAAACCACATGTTCTAACCTAACAAAAAAGATAGGCATCCTAAAAAAAGTTAATAGTAAACAGAGTTCTATGACGCATATCCCTTTAGTAAAAAACATAAAACGGTAACTACTATAGGCTCGGCAGCTGCATGTTCCTAGTACTTCATCAACATAATCATCAGTTGTGGGTTTAGCACTGACTATGAAAGTGTGAATCATATTTTTCTTCTTCTCACTTAGCCTCGAGGCTGGTTAATCTGTTTACAAGTAATGTGTGTTAGCCAGTTTGTAAGCAGTCCCTATGATCATTTTTAAGAGTAGCTAGCTTGTCTATATTGTTTTGGAGAAGTTAATAAAAGGAATGTTCCTTTCACCCACATAAAACAATTTTTGTTGTTTTATTGTTGTTGAATTATTTTTTGTACAGCCAGCTGTTGTTTGCTTTGTGAATGTTGTAATATTGATGCACTTTTTATCAGATTTGCCATTGTTTTCTTTCTTTTCTTTCAACAACTTAGTCAGCTTTTCCATCCCATCTATTATTGTTATATCTGCGTATTAGGGATGTACAAAACATTTTAAATTTGAATCATTTCAAGCTTGAAATGTCCTATTTAGAGTGTGAAATGGGCTGTTTCAGTCGAAAGTATTTTGGAACATTGGCACTTGAAACACCTCAAAGCCTATTTTACATTTAAAACAGAGCATTTTGAATCTGAAACAGTTTGAATTCTTAACGTTTTGCATGCCCCTATCATGGATCTAATTAGGGTAAGTATAGTATCACTTTAGAGCAGAGTCAGCCATTAGTGGCTGTAATGGCATTCCAGAGTAGGCTCTTATCTAAACAATGGATATAGTAATACGTCCATTTTAATCTACACCAAGCTAGAGTTGATACTGGAAGAGTCTCAGTCATTTCAATGAGTGACCTCTATCAGAAAAGGACAGGAGGATTATGAACTCACTCATTCAGTCTGATCTCTCAGTTTTTATATTATTTATAGTATTTTGATAGAACAACTATGGTACAGAAGTAGGGGACAGAGTAATAAGGTAGTTCTGCTTCTGTAATCAGAGTCAGGTTTTGTAAAGTAGCATAGGTGGGTTTTTTCTGAACTGCATGATGTTTTTGCTGTGAGGTCCCACGGGATTCCATCTTGTGTACACACACATACATATACATGCTATCTGCAATTTGTGGTAAAGTATCATATGCTAATTAATCTCCCAGCCTGGAATCAGTAATGGGCTGGATGAGGAACAGTACATTTAAGCAGAGCCTTTAATAACTTTTAATTGGTTTGGTAGCTTCAACTGTTCCTGGATAGAGATAGGCTGTCTATAGTATGTAACCTTTTGATTGGATTAATGTTATGTGTTGAAGATGACGAAGAAAATTCAAATAGTTACAGATAGGCTTGTCAGAATTGTAACAGAAGCAACTAGATGGGAATAGGTTATATGGGTTCTTAATTGCACTGGTTGTATTTGTTTTCAAGCTCAAATCAAAGGATTGGTGCTTACCTTTGAAATTCTAAACTATTTGAGACCCATATTGTCCAAGAAGTGTGTTTCCCCTATAGAGCATCTTAAGAGCTTCAGAAAAAACTTTTCCCAAGTTCCTTTGCCAGGCGAAGCTCATTGTTTGGGAACTACATAGAGGCATTTTCTATATCGACTCCTATAGCTAAAATGCACTCTGCTGATGCTTGACTAACACTGCTATCATATTGTCATTAGGCTAACATATTCTTACTTGCCAGGCATGTTAAACTATTCCACCGATCTGTTTAGCTTGATGTTTTCATGCTTTGGATTTGTTACTGTGATACTTTGGGATTTCATTATGTTGTACAGTAGTATGTTTCGATTTGTATTCCACTTGAGTGCTACCCTGATATCCTAAGGGGAAGAGCAGATTAAAAATAGTTTTGGTGAATGAATTAATACTAGTCTCTGCCTCAACTGTTAGTATGTGTATGTGTGTTCAGCTGTTACTCTTATTATTGCTTGATATTACTGCTTATGGGCAAACATGATCAGAGGCACCTGCAGGCCCTCAGGTAATAAAATGTCCTTGAAAGAATATGCGAATGACTTCCATGGTCCTGATCAAAGCAAACAGTTGGTCCAGCAAGTGAAATTAAATTATGAATCTTAATATAGTATCTTTAATTTTTCAGACCTCCACTAGTCATGCTGTCTTCCGTGTCCAGTCTGGTATTTGTCAGCTTTTTCGGGAGACCCTCATTCATAAGGGGTTTGTGGAAATTCAGACTCCAAAGATTATTTCTGGTATGTATTTGATACTTCAGTGGAATTCACACTTTGAACACATAAATTTGGGGAGATCTTATTATTGAGGTAGAAAATATGAATTGATTTTAAGTCTTCAGTTGCTCATTAGCACTTCTTTTTAAGTTTCTGCTGCCTCTTTTGAAACAGTAGCTGATTTAAAAGGTTGAAGCACTTTCCTTTCTAAAGTTTGCTGTGGAAAGAAATTCTCTCCATCTGCACCTTTAGTTTCTTGTGTAGTCATTTTCATCTTTTAAATTGATACTTATATAGAGAGTATATAAAAGAAGTCCTGGGTGGCTAGAGCAATGGTTGGCACTGAAGAAAAATTATATGCTAACCTGGACTATAGACTTTACCTGACAGTCTCAATAGTGCCAGCAAAGAGTTCTAGTCTTATAGATTGCAAAACCCTCATGCTTGTGATTCCTCCTTTTTCTCATAATTGCCTATATAAGTCTCTCTTGCTGCTTCCTTCTCGTCTGAAGCAAGCTTTGATGCTCTTTGATTCTGTGCTAAAGTGAAAGATGCCAATTGAAGAATGAGTTGGAAAGGTCTCTTTGTTGTAGGCAATGGGGGAAACTTGACCTGTTGACCCAGAGCTTTGGAGTAGGGTAGGAGGGCTAACTTTGGTTGGCTTGAGGGCTGCACCAGGGTTTTGAGTGGAATGTTGAAGGCAGCATTCCAAAAGTAGGCAGGGCCAGATCAAAGGTTTGTGGGAGGGAGGTTAAGGGGTGAAATGGATCAGGGAAGATTAGCCCTTCCTTTTAGTTACCCCCAATTCCAAAAATGCAAAAAAAAAAAAAAGTTTTTTTTTTTTTTTTTTTGGCCTGTTCACTGATAAGGGCCTCTGGGGACCACAAAAGGGATGGTGGCAGGCACATATAGCCTCTAGCTTGTACTTTTTGTACCTTGGAAGTAGGAACTAAATATATAATAGGTACTTATCGTACCATGAAAGAAAATGTAAACTTAAAAAAAGAAAAACACATATTTTTAAGCATGATGTACCCTGTTCAAGACATGTCACAAAGTTTGCCCTTGCTTTAGCAAGAAATGCCTTTACTTTGCAGCTGCCAGTGAAGGTGGTGCCAATGTATTTACTGTGTCCTACTTCAAAAGCAGTGCCTATCTTGCACAGTCCCCGCAACTTTACAAGCAGATGTGTATTTGTGCTGACTTTGACAAGGTTTTCTGCATTGGACCAGGTAAGGAAGCATTTTGTCTGAAAGGCAGTTATCACATCAGTGGAGCAATAATACACTGAATGTTCAGATTATGCAAGCACTAACTTTGCAATACCTTTTCCTGTCTAATTTGGTAACAGACAAAAGTTTCATGAAAATGTCTAATCAATATGGCAGTTTCACAGAGTTTGCAGGCAGAACAAATAGTATATTTAGCTGAAATTGGAGCTATGAACAGAGTAATAGTGTTCTCTAGTGGCTATTAGAATATCATACAGCATTCTGTAAGAAAAAAAGCGACTATAGTTGACATAATTCATCCATTATTGGATTTAATGCAAAACTACAAGCTTAGGAGGGCCAGGAGTTTGTAATATAAGCAGCTTGCTGGAAATCAATACAGCCCAACTTAATGCGTGCCAAATATTTGTTCTTTTTTTCCACAGTTAATCAGCTCAGTAATGCAGTATATATATGCTTATCTTTTTTTCTCCTAATCCCAGTAAAAATACGTGAACAATGTATGCCGCCAAGAATTAGATCCTTTCTAGAATCACTCCCACCAATATATTAGCTAAGCCATTCAAGATTGGCCAGGTCTCTTTTTTCTTCCATAAGTGGAAAAAATCATACTGATAGATTTTGAAACAATAATGCTAAGCCAGGATATTTTTAACTATGATGTGCTAAGCAGGACAGAACCATTTTTTCAGAAAATGTCATCATATCTTACTTAGCTATTCCTGTTTTGTTTCCATTTTATTCAATCTTGTAAATAAACCCATATTCGTAAACCAAACCAGTATTATCCTTCATCCATCCTATTGATCCTGACACTTACAGTATGTAACTAACTTGAGCTAAATTGGCAGCCGTACCCTAAAACCCCACATGCTCACCACCAGCACAGACACACTAATGGTTATGCCATTTCTGGCTTAGTACCCAAATGCCAAATTAAAAGCATGTGCAACTACCAAATGACTATCTCCTAGTGAGTCGGTCCTTAAAAATGACTACAGAAGATTTTCACTCATGTCTTCCCTACTATCTAGGATTTCTTCTAACTAAGTGTACTTTCCAGCTTATATTCGCTACAGTCATACGCCTGGGAGACTGAGTTCTCATTCAGATGAGCTCTTTGGGTGGGGGGTCCCTCAGGACCAGATGGGGATATATAGGTAGATGCAGTTAGAAGAGGAAGGAAAATAGAAGTGAAATAAGCGCAAGTTTTTTTGTGTAATGCCGGATTGTGGCCTTTTAAAAATGCATTAATGCTTTCAAATATTGCTTTTGTTGATTATTATTTCCTGCCTAATAGAACAGTTTTGGTAGGCGAATGTGAGACTAGTATAAATATTAGTACCCAGTTCTCCATTTTGGGATTCAAGGAGTTCCTCTCAGAGAAACAGAGTTTTACTTCAAATTAGAGCAGTTCATAGTAGCAACTAGTGCTAGGATATCTCCAGGGCTACTTTTAATTTACCCAATAGAATCATTTATTCAAGATGATAACATAATTTTAAAAGGGTATTTCTCATGTAGTATTTAGAGCAGAAGATTCTAACACTCACAGACACTTGACGGAATTTGTTGGCCTGGATATTGAAATGGCTTTTAATTACCATTATCATGAAGTGGTGGATGAGATTGCAGATACCTTGGTGCAGATATTCAAGGGACTCCAAGAAAGGTAAAAAACATTTTTTATACTACTTCAGAAAATAAGAGAAAACGTGAGTTACAAAAGTAGTAGCAGTAACAGGTTACATACCTTCAAGCAAATATTCTGGCTCCCTTTTATTTTACCTGTTTGGAGGAATTCCAAACCATTGTTCTTGTTCATAGTTGCAGCATGACATGGCACCAACTGCTATTCCAGGTTACACTAATGTGCGGGAGACTTTTTGTCATGGGTCCCAGCAAGGGGGATAAGCTAGTCAGCTTCTTCTGTCGTATAGGAAGACGTAACAGTATCTGAAGCATTTAGTCAACAAGATGCAAGCCTCAGCTGCCATACCCTGGAATCACATAGTGATTACTCTTTATCAGAGAAGGTTAGAGATCAATTATTCAGTGAAATAGATGGGTGGAAGGTCAAATAAGTACATTTTTTTCCTCAAGTGCAGAATTGGCTTAATGGCTTTACTGTTATTAGTCATGAACTATTAGTAATGATAACTTTTAAAAGGGATTATGAGGGTGGGTGGGGAAGAAGAGAAATTTAACAAATTCATGACTAGATCTCAGAAAAAGAAAGTATAAAACTCACCGCCGCAGGAGTATACCGCATACCATGCAGCTGCGGGCAAGTATACATCGGGACCA